GGGTGGTGCATAAAAACGAAAAAGTAGAAATTTAAAATTGCAATAAAAAAATAAGGTAAAAAAATAATATTTTATTTTACGGGTGGGGGATGGGGGTGGGGTGGGGTGGAAGGGTAGTAGAGTGGGTGGTAACGGAAAAACTGAAATTTGAAAGGAAAAAAAAGAGCCTTTTTTGGAGAGAGGGGGTGGGGTGAGGTGGGTTGGTGAAGGTAGGGAATGTTGAGAAGGAGTTTTGAAAAATGTTTTCCCTTGTCTTGGTAAGGAAAATATTTTCCTCCAATTGGAGGAAAATGAGTTCATAAGAAAAATATTTTCCAAAATATTTAAGCCAACCAAACATGGAAAAATTGGAAAATATTTTCCTTCGTACAAACACACCCCAAAAGTCAAAAGAATTCCACATGAGATAAGCGAGAAACAATATTTATTAAATTTTAAGTTCAGCCTATGGACAAAGAAGATCTAATAAGAGTGGTACCAAAGTATCCTGTTCGTGCAAATCACCCGTAAAAATTGCACGGAGCGCCTTATTTGGTCGCCCCCATTTAACCTATACTCATTTTTTTAAAACTTTTAACTTGTACCCACTTTTTAAACAACTTCAGCCCCTTTCTCCTCCTCCTTCTCCTCCTCAAAGTTATATCCGCCCTCAACCTCTTTCTTTTATGGAAGCGTCGATCCTAATTAGTTTACTAAGTACACTAAAAGAAAAATAAGCAACTGATTTGCGAGGATTGAGTTGGAACGTCGATTCAAAACTTCAGCTGGAAAATTTATATTGAAGTACCAAACACCACAGAGAAAGAATTTTACAATAATTGGTGAATTGAAAATTATGATAATTACTGCAGAATTTTCATACAATACGTCTCATTTCACTTATTTATTAACTTGATTAAGACTCGATCTTGGTCCAATGATTGCACCACCAGTGTTCATTACTCACTTGATTAAGACTCGATCATACTTCTGGCGAAAGATGGCAAAATGAATGCTGCTTTGTGAATTTGAAAAAGAAAAAAAAAGACAAACAAAAACTTCAGCTCCAGAGCTCTAGAACTGCCAGTTACAAAACAAGAACTTCAGCTCTAGAGCTGAAGTTTGCCAGTTCGTCAGTTACAAAACAAAAACTTCAGCCAGTTCGCCAGTTACAAAACAAAAACTTCAGCTCTAGAGCTGAAGTTTGCCAGTTACAAAAACAAAAATTTCAGCTCTAGAGCTTGAAGTTCGCCAGTTACAAACAAAAACTTGAGCTATAGAGCTGAAGTTCGCCAGTTACAAAATAAAAACGTTTGCCAGTTACCAAACAAAAACTTCAGCTCTAGAGTTGAACTTCAGGCCTGGCTACTAGAATGCTGAAGTTTTGCGTGATTGCCTTTGCTACTTCACCCCCGTATGCTGAAGTTATGCGAAAAAGCACGTACGCTTGCAATTTTTTTTACAAAACGGACACAGGTTAAAACGTGACACAAAAAAATACAAATGCCCCAAATCACCCCCACCCGCATAATTGTCTGGCCCATCGATTTATCCCGGAAAAGCGGGCGGGTCCCGTTTTATTGCATATAAACTCCCACCACGTCTTGTGCTGGCGGCTTTAGGAAACGGGACCCAGATGACGCAATCAACTAACTGAGAGGCGCGGTGATCGTGGTGGGAAGGCCATCATCACGCATTTGGAGCATGGGTAGGCACCTGTCTATTTAAACTCCTCCGTCTTCAACTTCGTGTGCAGAACTACCATAGTAGCATCACATTTACTTCATATCAGTAGCAAAACTCTCCATTCTTCCCAATTTTTTCAGCTTCGAAAACCCTACGTCTTACTGTTGAGCTCCATTTTGAAGGTACTTTTCAAATTTATCAGTCTGTCATTTATGTTTTTTTCTTTTTTTAAATATCTAGAAGTATATTTGGTTGGTCAAAGATGGACAGTGTCACTTGCATTCATTTAAGAGGTTTGGAACAATTTTACCAATCATTTCGCAATTAATTCTACCTTCTCTTTCTAACTATGTATTTTTTTATGTTTCAGAAAGCGCCTGTTAAAATTTTTGTTTGCTCATTGCTGCTAAACTTTTTTGCTGAATTGTGTAAACTAAACTGTCCTTTTTAAATTCCATCACCTATTCAACATGCCAGATGCTTTGGGTTGGAAATTCACCATCGTCCATTACAGAAATTATTAAAAAATAAAAATAAAAAATTCACGTCCGCACCTGAGAGGGTGTGTTGCAGGCATAATTCAAATGAATAAAGTATGCCTTCTCTAAAAATTTATGATATTAAACGACGCGATTCACATAATTCAATTCAACAATATAGTCCTAGTTGTAATGGTTTTAAGCATCATGAAATGTGTAAGTTTCACTGCAGGAGCTTTAGCTCTTGCTTTTGCTAATTAATTATCACTATCAATTAGCTTGGCGCAAAATTGTTAGCAGAAGTCAGAAGTCATATAGGCATGCGAGTTTCTTTGCATTTCTAGCCTGTTGTGTTGATCAGGTGCTTCATTAGAAAATTTGGCTGCAGAACTTGGGACTAAATTGATATCTTATGGAGCAAATGTTAGTTCAAAATGGTGTTAAAAAGGTACAGTTGCTTCCAGCGGTAAATGATGACCATGGAGGCGTTATAGTAGAACTAGAGGAGCATATGGACCCAAATATCTTTCATAACATGCTTAGAAGTTCGTTACATCAATGGAAGCTGCAGGTATATTGATCTAGTTACTCTTATTAGGAGCAGAGATTTGCTTAATGTTCTGTTTACACGTGATAATATAGTCAATGAGAGCAGTGTTCTGGAATACCTGTGTAATATATGGTTGACTTTGCTTCCCTTTTTCTCTTTCAATTCTTTTCTACATGTATTATCTTGCAGGGGAAAAAGGGCGTGTGGATTAAAATGCCCATTCAACTTGCAAATCTGGTTGAACCTGCAGTTAAGGTAATGTCTTCTTTACGTTTTTCTAACTTGGACGTTATAGTTCATCCTGATAAAAGAAGTACATGGAATTCCAGCTAAGATACTTCAATGTGTCATAGAATTTGCAATTTTCAGAGGTATCTAATGTTTGTTTCGAACAAATAAATTTTCAGTGAAACCCAAGCCATGGTATAATGAAACAATGTTTTCTTGATCCAAATTGGAATTACTTATTTTTGTTCTTTGAAATCTACAGCAGTAAAGTATTTACCGACCTTGTTTTCACAAACTCATAAGTCAAAACTGCCGCTTATATCATCCTTTGGGTTGAGAAATAATATATTATCCGTTCAATCACGCTAATCCTAATCTTTAACACTGGATGCAGGAAGGGTTTTGGTACCACCATGCAGAACCTCATTACTTGATGCTTGTGTATTGGATCCCTGAAACTGGGAATACAATCCCTGCAAATGCCTCACATCGAGTGGGTATTGGTGCTGTCGTCTTGAATGAGAAAAGAGAGGTAGTTAAAAGCTGCTATAAATTCCGCTCTAGTAGTTACCCACATGGACATAATACTTCACTTAGTCCGTATCTGTTCTAATTCTCGATATGATATTTCCCTCCTTGAATGTCAGATTTATGTTACCTAAAATAGTATATCATAGTCCTGATGCATCAAATTGCTTTTGAAGATGATCTAATGGTTGCGTTAAAGTCTACCTGCTGTGATAAAGCTGGCGTTATTGTCACTTCATGCATATGGAAAATTTGGGCTCTTCATTTCCTATTTGTCAAATCTTGATTCTCTGCTAACATCTTACCCCTCTTAGTCTAAGGAGAGTGATTGTGAGTGCACTTGCCACTAAATAGCCTGTAAAAAAATAAGAGCTATTTAGCATCATATTTGGTAAAATCCACTAACCTATTTTGCAGATATCTTTCTGTCTAACTAGATGTACTTGTTCTCTGTGGTAACTCTCCGCGAACAAAGCATATCTTTATCATTAGAAACATCCCTCTTGCTTGGGCCACTATGCTTAAGCATATTGGAGGTAATTATTTCATAGGTTTGCCACCCATTCTCTTAACTGCAAACTCTTGTTTTCAGTTGCTTGTTGTCCAAGAAAGTAGTGGCAGAATGAAGGGAATGGGGATGTGGAAGATCCCTACTGGTGTTGTTGAAGAGGTATGCTCAATGTTGAAGCTAAAGTCAGCTTTAAATACAAGTCATATATCAACTTGTAAGTCTTAAACTGTATTTTAAGCTTTTGTTCTGCAGGGTGAGGATGTATTTGAAGCTGCAATAAGGGAAGTAAAAGAAGAAACAGGAGTAAGTATATCTTATATACAAAACTGAAACATCCAACAGTTAAAGTTGACCTAAAATGCTACATAATGAATCAATCTATCAATGCATCTAAGTTTTCTGCCGTACATTTGACCGTTATTGTTTCTCTGAGATTATCTGGGTTTCTTTTGGTGCAGATTGATACAGAATTTCTGGAAGTGCTTGCATTCAGGTAGGAAACTCGTGCATTTGTTTGATTATTTGACTATGTATGTATATCAGTTCTTCATTTAGTGGCTAACCCATTCGCACAGGCAAAAGAACAGAATCGATTCAAGTTTAATGTGATATACCTTGGTTCTTTGTTTCACATGGTTGTGGGTTTACTCATTGTGATATATCATGTGTAAAGAAAATAAAAAGCAGTGCCAGTGCAGAAAATTTTTGCATGATACTATTGCCTCTCCTCCAAATTGACTATCTTCTTTAGTTTACCTAAGTTAACCACCTTCCACGGTGAAAATCAAACTACCTTTTGAAAAGAAAGTTCAGAAGTTTTAATCTTTTTAAAGTTCTATAAGGTGTTACTTTATAATGCATTGGAGGATTCATGTTTGATTAAATGGACTTATTGACTAGGAGGAGTATCTCAAGGATTGGTGTAAAATTTCTTAATTTTTCAGAACCTAGAATACGTTGGGGTCATGACATTTCTGTTGACAGGCAGATGCACAAGTCATTCTTTGGAAAGTCGGACTTATTCTTCATTTGCATGATGCGCCCTCTTACGTTTAACTTACAAAAGCAAGATTTAGAAATTGAGGCAGTTCAGGTATTTCTAGTTTGTTTTACGGATTTGTTACAGTATTCTCAAATCCTATTTAACAAATGTTATGCGATCTTACTGCGTTGCAGTGGATGTCACTAGAAGAGTATGCTGCTCAACCTTTTGTTCTGAAACATGGCATTTTCAAATACATCAAAGATCTGTGCTTGGCAAAGGCAGAAGGGAGTTACCTGGGGTTTACTCCTGTGCCGATTAAATCTTATTTTGATGATCCTACGAGTTACCTTTATTTCAATGAAGATGGTCTGGTCCAGGAAAACTCTGCAATTCATCCATGAAGAAACAGAGTGGGGCAATCACATTTGCCAGATTAACGGTATGACTTTTTCTATACCGCTCTATTCAGGTCTGATTTCATTCTAATACTAGTAGTTCTCTAAACTAAAGAAGTAGGATAAATGGTATTGGTAGCATAGATCTTCTGTTTTTCCTATAATTGCTTGTACACCGAAATAAAATGTATTTTCCAAGTCTTTGTATGCCTCATTTTACGCAGTGTATCCAATGAACCACAGCAAGCATACTTATTCCAATTTGCTTGCTTCTTCTCTTATTCTTTGTTCATCTAAGTAGTAATTTCTCATGTAAAATTCTTACCTATGGAGCAAATACTTTGTTGGAGGAGTGTAATTGTATTTTTTTTCCCGAGTGTGTAGCTGTATTGACTACACTGAACGGAAGGAAAAAATTAAGGAATCCTGATGATGAGGTACTAATTTATGAAAAGGTTTTACATTGCTACTATTTTGCCTATAATAATGTTAGATTAGTTAGTGTTGATGTGTTAACATTTGAGAAAAGGAAGCTTGTTCCTCGTTGGGAAAATAGAGAAAGGTAGAAGTGCTTTTAAACACTTCTTGTCTTATTTGGTTTGAATTATTTGAGGGATATTTGAAGGGAAACTAATTGTGGCTATATAGGAGTATTAATTTTATTTTAATCACCTATTTTTTTTTAATTAAAAAGTTTTTATTAATTATTCAAAATGTTTTAATAGTTCTATTTTAAATTTAAAAAAGTGACTATTAGTTATAAAAGATACCCGTTGATTCCAAGAGCTCCTAGAGGTATTATAAGTACCCGTTGTCTCTCCAAAAACTATAAACATCAACAACTATAAAAAAATTTCTTCCTCTCTCTTTCGATTTTTTACAACTCATAAAGTTTGTTCTTGTGGAAAATGCGGATTAATTGCAGCTATTCGAATTTCGTTGGCTTTGTAAATTCTGGGAGGAATTGTGCTGCCATCCCTACAGCAATGACGTGAGAGGTTTAAATTCCTTAAAGATAGTGATACACTATCAAAGCCAGTGTATTTCGTCCCCATATTCTGCAATATTTTTTCTAACAAATAATGTGATTTAAGATAGAGAGTTGCTCAGTAGCCTTAGGCAGCCTCTTCAAAAAGATATTTAGATTTTTTAAAAAGCATTTTCTGACAAATGTTTTTGCGTAGTTCTTTCAAATTTCAGTCGTTAGTTTTCACCCTTAGGGCAAGTGCACTATTTTTTGCACCAAATTTAAATTTGGTATAAAATTTGGTGTTTTTTTTTTTGGCTCCAATGGAACACCAAATTTTTCACCATTATAGTGTGTGAATAGTGTCGCACCAAATTTGGGGAGAAATTCAAAAATAGCCAGATTTACCACTGGTCGTTGAAAAATAGCCAAGTTTCAAAAGTCATCGAAAATTAGCCACTTTAAATCTGAGCGAAAACACTGTTCAAAATCCGAAAAAATACGCCCGCAAATTTTACGGGAGTTCCAGCAAGTATAATTGTCCAGTATAATATAGTGGAGTTTGGAGCACTGGTGCTCCAGTCTCCCGCAAATTTTACAGGAGTTAGCAAAGTATACCGGTCCAGCATAATATGTCGGAGTTCGTACACAAATGCACCAGAACTCCCGTATATTATACTGGACCGGTTCCTGTTGCAGCAAAATAGTGGCTATTTTTCATTGACTTGATAAACGCTGGCTATTTTTCATTGACCAGTGTGAAAACTGGCTATACCATGATATTTTAACCCAAATTTGGTGCAACACTATTCATCAACACCAAATTTGATTTATTATCATTTTATTCATCTTTTTATTTTTTTTTTTGGACTTTTAATTTATCATATATTGTGTATATAATTAATTTTTATATTAAGATCTTTATAATTTTAATTTTATATCCTTTTTTTGATATATTAATTTTTGTATATATGATGTAATATTTATTTAATTATCTTTTATCAATGATTTCACTTTTAGTTGATTTATCCTTTAAACTAATTTTGTAATAAATGATTATATAAGTGGTGAATGTGAATTATATATGATGAATATGGAAAAAAGAAAAAAGATGGAATTTGTTTGAAGGAAATAAAAAATAAAAAATAAATAGAAGATAATAATATAATATAGAAGAGAGAGAAGAACTATTCTTTTTTGGTGTAAAAAATGGTGTAATGGTTGGAGTAAATTTGGTGTTACACCATTTTGGTGTGAAATTTGGAGATGGTCTTAGGTTATCTTTTGTGTTTTCACTTTAGACACAGTTTTGCAATAGAAAACTTTTTTTTGGAGCCAATTTTGTGTTTTAGCTGTAATCGCCGGGGATCGTGCGCGAGGGGTGGTGGTGGTTTAGTTTTGGGCATAAATGATTCCTTTTACTATTTCCATTTGTCTAATGCAACGTAAACCAAAAGAAACTTAAGCACCCCTCACGCCCCCGCCCCACCCAAGACCCAACCCACACTCTCTCTTAGGAACCAATCGATTGGTTTGTGCCTCGTCGATAAACAAAAGCTTTAGTAAAGATGAGCTGATGAATCTGTAATGATTCATGAAATTTTGGAGAACCAACATTGGGGAATCCGAAGGTCAATCATTCCACTGCTTTATAATTATGTACATGAAAGAGAGCGGATTGAAGAGTAAATACATATCCAACTCTGAACTGTTAGGCATAAATACTGTGATAGGGGGAGTAGGAGGCCATTCTAAATGCGGCTGTAGCCTGGTCCTCAGTGGGATCTACTTCTACAAGCAAGAGACAGTGTTAGTCACAAGACCTGTTAACTGAATATTGAACTTGGTGCCTTGTTTTGAGTCTCGGAATATTGCTTGTTGACTCCTCAGGGCTGATTTTCTTTAATCAGCAGTTAATAATTAGGCTTTTTAGATGACACTATAGTTATTTAGAAAGTACTATTAGATGAGTTGATCTTATTTCGAGCTTTATCATTATTTTTGGACTAATAAAGTTACTATTTTGAAGTGAAGATGAATCCAAGGGCAGTATAGCACTACCTTTTTTGTTGGTATAACCATTTGTATTTGGAATCCATCACCTCTTAAAAATTTTGCTGCATAAGGCTCATTAAAAAAGGGAAAATTTTATTTTGCGTCTTATACAACTGACATTAGCGGTATGAGGCATCTTTCTTGTCTCACAGTTTTGTGGACCCAGAAGTGTAAGATTGGGGTCCACAAATTTGTGAGAGAAAAAGAAGACTTACACAACTTACATAAGTTGTGTGAGACACACAATAAAACTTCTCTTAAAAAAGTGCTCTCTGTCACAGGAATTTTTGTATTTCTAGATTGAAACTGAAAAGTGGAGAAACGCAGGAACAAATATATAGGACTCATTGTCAAGAAAAGGTCGGTCAGTTATTAGTACTGCATTTTGCAGTTAGTGGGCCTTACCAACTTTATCATAAGTCACAGTCCCTAACAGGGCTTCAAACGGTGCCTAACCCAACTGCTAATTCCATGATCAAACATTGAAAGGCCAGAATTCTCTGGACAATTGAGTCGATGCTCTAATTTCAATGACCATTTCTAGAAGGAATCTCAAATTTGAGTTTGAAACCTAGAGATCAGTGAGCCAATTAAAAAGTACTCCACAAAAGCATGGTAGCAACAAAATTCATCTCTTTCAGTTTCCGCAACCCCTATGCCAATAACGAATTTAGAATTCATCGATTTGTTAATGTAGCTGTCAAGCAACTAAATTATTTTACGGGTTATTGTTGGTAGGTAAATATTTATGCGTTTTTATCAAATCTTATCAAATTACCATGGTTAAAATAATTAAGTGAAAATATATATTAATTGCTCATAATTAAGTGATAGAAGCCTATATATAAACACATATCTTGTATCTTTTGATTTGATACAAATACTAAGTGCCAGTAAATTTTTAGTTATTGTTTAAACGTGATCAGCAATCTAGAAAATAAAATAAATAGGAGTAATATTTTACAACTTACAACGGTTCAATATGTACCTGAATAGATTCAATAGTCATCTTCTTGAATTGAGACAAAATCTCCAAAAAATATTGAGTAAAACCACTTCGGAATAATGCATAACAGCGAAAGAAAAATTTAAATTTTATGACAGAGTAAGATGGCAACGGAAATATATGAAAAGCTTATCATAAATTCATAATTAATGGTTAACACGCAAACAAGGACTCATATTACAGAATCAATTCCATCTCTGAATCAACTTAACACTTAACAGAGATAATCAAAGACACATTAACAAAGAAGAAAATGGGTCTAAAAACTTAGTACCAAAAAAAAAAAAAAAGCAAAAGCACCATAAAGCCTGTTAGACAGTATAGAACTTACACTACCGTTACAAATCCACTTATTTCACAATTAAAAGCCCCTAGAGTTAAACAAAGAAAAATAAAATTAGAACCTAAGAAAAAACAGACATTTCTTTTTCAAAGACCTAAAGAAATAAAAATAGAACTTACATCAATAATTTGAAGGCAAACCATATACTAAAAACGGCGGTAAGCGATGCTCCAGCGTTGTACCTACCAGCACCGTTATCATCTGTGGTTGAATCGGCAGAATCATCACTAGGACCATCCGCCGGAGAATCCGCCGGTGAATCAGCGGAAGACTCAGGTGCCGGCGGCGACTTGTGTTTATCCTTTGAGTGCTTAGGAGATTCAGCGTCGGCATCCGGTGCCGGCGCCGGCGCCGGAGTAGGAGCAGCCTTGAACAATTCCTTTGGCAACAACACCTTATCAAGCGAAAATATCGCCAGCGGCTGTTCATCAACCAAAGTCCCCGTGATCTTCGCAGTCACAACCTTCGTCTTCAGTGTAACATCTTCGCCGTCATTTTGAACGGTAAAATCGTACTTCTTAGCGCCATCTGTAGCTAACGTGTTCATAACGCCGTTATTAGATTTCAAACTCGATATCGATTGATAAATAGGAACTCCGTGATACTCGAGCAGCGACTGTTTCCCGTCAGCGGTTAAATTCTTAAACTTAGGTAAAAAATTCTTCATTGCGTCATCTCCAGGGCAAAATATCGTTAATCCTCCATCAACATTGTCCTCGAATGTCTTTTCAGCAGGAGAAGCTAAAAGCGTCTCGGCAAAAACTTTGCAGCCGTGAGCAGACATTAGCGAAGTGAGATTCATCTGACTTGGTCCTGGAGTCGGAGCTTCAGCTTCGGCTGAGGGCAGAATCGTACTTATTTGGATAACGGAGATGTTATAAGGAATCTCCTCAACGGATTTGATAAATTTGGCGGGAGGAGGGCCATCGTAATCGGCAGGGCTAAAAACGACTTTTCCTCCTTTTACATTAGTGATATTGACGAAGCCGGAAGAACCGGAAGCCGAGCCCGTGGCTTGGAATATAGTAGCAGCAAGTGCGGTGCCGTTAGTGATCTGGTGAAGCTTTTTGGCGCCGAAGTAATCGAGAAGCACGTGAAATGAGAGCACATTTTTCATGGCGTAAATGGAAAGGTGCTTGGAGAGTAGATCTGACATGCCGGCATTGTCGACGGCGCAGACGGTGATGGTTTGACGGCGGTTGATTTCGTAGGCGAGGTGTGTTGTTGTTAAGTAGTGGTTGAAAGTGGAGAATTGTGGGTGTTTGGCCAGAATGCGGGTAATGTTGTGTGCTTCAGTGGTACAAAGGAGAAGGGCTAGAGAGAAACCCACCGCGGCCGCAGCGGCCGACGACAAAAGCTTCATGTTATTATTGTTGTAAGAGAGAGAAGAATTCCGGCGACTGTGTGTTGGAGTGAAGGAGTGGACTGTTAGAAAGAGAGAGAGGGTGATACTCACTTATTCAGTGAAGTGGAAATAAATGGAGTTTATTGGGGCTAGTGAGATCTCAAGTGACTGCAAATTTATTGACCAAGTACGAACCTTAAAATTACAGAAAGGGCTACCACTTAACGGGTATAATATGTGTTTTACACGTAATCACATATATTAATATTAACATTATTACTTTCGTGTATATATGTGGAATAATATAATTACTGACTATTTTAATAGCGCTTAACTTGTTTGCTACTCCCCCGCACCAAAATAAGTGATTTTTTGGATGTTTTCACACAGATTAAGAAATCCACCTTTTAGCATTAATTAGCAATGGAATTGACCATATTAACCTTTACTATCTCACATAAACACTCCTAACACATATTCCAACACTATTTACTCCAAGGACAATGTAGGAAAAAAATAATTAATTCATTCTTGAAATCTGAAAAAATCACTTATTTTGGACCACAAGACAAATGCCAAAAAATCACTTATTTTGGACCGGAGGGAGTATTAATAACCAAGCTTCTCCGAACCCCAAAAAAGAGCTTTTCAGCAGAAGTAATTTTGGAGAAGCAGAAAAAAGTAATTTTTCCCCAAAAATAATTTTGACAAATACTCTTAGAAGCAAATTTTAAAAATTTGGTCAAATACTAATTGCTGCTCAGAAATACTTTTCAAATAAATTAGTCAAACACAAACTGCTTCTCTCCAAAAGTACTTTTAAAAAATACTTTTGAAAAAAAAAATATTTCTCAAAATAAGCTGATTTTGCAGCTTGGCCGAACATGCTTCTTAATTGTTATTGTATCACATTAGTTTGTTAGCTATTTAAAATAAATTGATACAATAGCAATAATAATTGTACCGTCGTAACAACACTGTTGATATTAATATAATTTGACGTAAATATCAGTGTATATAGATTTTACCTATCGGTTGTTTCTTATTTGGGTGTTTGGAATTTTTTTAATGAGTAAAAATCATTTACATTCCTGAGTTTTTAAAAAAAAAAAAAATCAAACTCATCCTTCAACTTAGAACAATTGTCATTCTCCTCTGTTCATCCTATGCAATATCTATGTTATTGTTATTTTTTTTAATTTCCCATATATGTAATACGTTTTTATATTATCAAAACATTTTATGTAGGTATTTTATTCAGAATTTAAATAATATTATATCATATTATATACTTAAATTTAAGTTCATTAACATTATAAATAGATTAATTATATTATAAATTTATTATAAATTCTATCGTAACTTCTTCTTCTTCTTCTTAATATTATTTTAATATTATGTGCATTACGTATGCATATAATGTATATTGTTGTGCGTGATAAGTTTCCTTTGTCTCTTATTCTCTATTGTAAATAGATTTTTGTGTTTTGATTGTTATTAATAAAAATTTTCTACTGTAATATGAAATTCATGTAAAGTATAAATAAATTTTAGGAATTTATTATAAGATCTACCTCTATTTTCCATGCATTAAATTTTTATTAAATGCATTGCAAGCTTTATAAAATTTGCACTCTCTTTTATTCTTAATTTTGTAAATAGATTGAGTTTTGATTGCTAATTAAAAAAATTAATGATACGAGCAAATTAATCTATTATAAATTTTTATTTTTCTTATTTATTTATTATTAGACGTCATTTGCTTACTACTTCTCACTTTTTTCGAAAAAATATTGATTTGTTTATAGGTAAGTCCATAACATAGATTAAAATAAAAAAAATCATTATTTTAAAAAAGAAGACGATAAACTTGTAGAGGGTAAAATAGATATTTTAATTAGTCAACTTTGATAAGAGAAGGAGAACGATAAATGTTCAAACTTTGAGGATGAACTTAATTATTTAAAGCTAACTTAAGGGTGTAGATAATTTTCACCTTTTTTTAATAATTTTTTTTCTATTTTAAAAATTTTAAGTTCTTTTGAAATGGATGGGTCTGTTAATAATGAGAGGTATGTAAAGGAGCAGAGGATTCTTGTACGATCGAAACCGTAGACTTAATTTTGTTTCGGCTTTCTAGCCTGGCTGGCCAAGCTTCTCCGACTCTAAAAGCATTTTTTTTTTCAAAGTCGATGTGTTTGGCCAAGTTTTTGGAAGAAAAAAAAGTGCTTTTGACGAGTAGCAGAAGCATTTATGGAAAAATAAAAAAAAGTAACTTCTTTCCAATAGCATTTCTTTTTGAAAAACACTTGAGAAAAAAGCACTTAGAATTAATTTTTAAAAGATTGCCCAAACACTAAGTGATTTTCAAATTAATTAGCCAAACAAACTGCTTCTCATCAAAAATATTTTTGAGAAAAGCATTTTTGAGAAAAAACACTTCTCAAAAATAAGCTGGTTTTTGCAGCTTGGCAAAACATGCTATCCGTGTTACTAAGGTCACGATGGTAATTTTTGCCCAAATTCTATTATGAGGTTATATATTCAGTAGTATAATAAAAATGACACAATTGGCTTAAGAAAATAAGTTTTTAAAGATATTCTGTTGGGATTTTAACACAACCCAGAAATAATAGTGTATATATATATATATATATATATATATATATATATATATATATATATATATATATATATATATATNTATATAATATCTTAAACATAATCAATATATAATTTTTATATTTTTGATTACTAACTGTAAAGTATTTGTTTGGTTGGTTAGAAGAACTTTCTAATATGCAGATTTAAGAACTCAATGTTGTTTTTTTAATAAAAATAATTGGTTCGCTTCATCAGTCCATTGGTGTTAAATACTTCGTCACTCACATTAATTAAGTGAATGTATCCCAAGAAACTGAATAATAGCATTACCATATTATCCGGGATCAGTTACACTCATTTCTTCACAAACAAACAAATATATGCATGTGGAATTCCATGAAGGTGATCGTTATGCTAATTTTAATTCAACATACTTAAATAATAGTGTAATTAACTTTTTTGCATTACTAGTTATAGTAAGTAACATGTCTTATAATTCAAATTTTGATTCACGTATTATAAACCGTTACATGTAGCTTTCTTTTGGATAAATGTAAATATAATTTTTATTTAGACATCGCTATAAAAGTTAAACTTCAGCTTAAATATCGTAACCATCACAATTGTGCTGAAATGATAAATAATTTTATCCATTCTTGACTAGAGGTTCCTGGTGCTAATTGAAATGCCCCCAAAAAGTACCAGACATATGTAGGAAACCAAAAAAAGAAAACTTAAATTTTGTAGTTTAGTATAACTGAACTTTATAGTCATTTCTCGAAAAAAGAAAAAGAAAGAGAACTTTATAGTCCACTTAAAAAGTTTGGTTTATTAAAAAAATGTAGTTCAAAGTACCAAACAAAATAGCAATAAGTGCTGATAACGTGTTAAGAAACTTAACTCAAAGTAGTAATATGAAACAAGCAAATAGACAAGAATGTAGAGAGAAAGAGAGGAGAGATTCTTATTACTTTCAAGTATTCAAGTATATATAATGTAGCGCCAAAACCCTCTATTTATAGGATTACATAAGGTATACAAAAGAATGCCATAAACATGACATTAAACATTTGAGATCATGGAGGAAGATCATGGTGTTATGATCGGAAAATAATCAGGTGTCTTGCGGAAGCTAGCAAAGCAAACTTTGAACGACGATAAATCCAACAACAAAAGAGAAATCTACCAAAAGAGACACAAACATTTAACGTGGTTCCGTCAACTGATCTACGTCCACAGCGGAGATGAGCAATCCACTATAATAAAGGAGAGTACAAAATATCGTGAGAACAACCTCACGAAGAGGCAAACACAAGTGACACACTAACACTTGTCCCGTAAAGTTCTCCCCCTAAACACGACTCTCAAACCCCATGTGGCTACATTGTGGATGCTACTGAATGAGAAGGGCGGATCCTCAATTTATAGAACTTCAAACCTTTTCCTACAAGAAAAAGGACTAGCCAAATATGGAAGAATTATATTTTTCTTCTAGGAAAAGATTTAACCCAATTATGGTAAATGTGTTGTCCTTTCCTTCATGAAATAGGAAAACCAATTATGGTAAGAAAATCCAGATTTGATCCACCTAAAAATTCTCCCCCTTGGCCCGAATTTTCTGACAAAATAAACTTGATCCACCTTCTTCACATAGCCTTCAACAGGTCGCATCTCCAAATCTCCACCACAAAGTTTGTCTCAACGTGCGTAGCACACCGGTCAAATTTCTCAGACAAAAATCACGATTAACGTCAAATATGTTGCAGCTAGAACTGAACACACCAAGATGAACCTGTCTTGAACCTCGCTCTGATACCACTTATTAGGACTGGAAAAATCAGGTGTCTTGCGGAAGCTAGCAAAGCAAACCTTGAACGACGATAAATCCAACAACAAAAGAGAAATCTACCAAAAGATACACAAACATTTAACGTGGTTCCGTCAACTGACCTACGTCCACGGCGGAGATGAGCAATCCACTATAATAAAAGAGAGTACAAAATATCAAGAGAACAACCTCACGAATAGGCAAACACAAGTGACACACTAACACTTGCCCGTAAAGTTTTCCCCCCTAAACACGACTCTCAAACCCAATGTGACTACATTGTGGATGCTACTGAATGAGAAGGGCGGATCCTCAATTTATAGAACTCCAAACCTTTTCCTATAAGAAAAAGGACTAGCCAAATATGGAAGAATTATATTTTCCTTCTAAGAAAAGATTTAACCCAATTATGGTAAATATGTTGTCCTTTCCTTCATGAAATAGGAAAACCAATTATGGTAAGAAAATCCAGATTTGATCCACCTAACACATGGGGAGGTTATGGAGGTGTAGAAGTTACAACTATAATGATGAGAAGTAGTGGAAATTATCTACATAATGAAGAAGAGTAATGAGAGTAATTTCTTTACGAGTTATAGACATCCACTAATATAATTATAATATTTCATAATATGGTTGCAGTTAACATGCATTAAAATCTTATTTTCTGTGAAGGAGCTCTAAAATTAACTAATACTGTATTTTGTTACTTGAAATTAACGAAAAGAGGTTACGTGAAGTTAATATTAAAGTGCCGGACCTTA